AATCACGATTTTTTTTTTGCATGAGACAATAATAGTAAGGTTTAAATGTTAAAATGTTACATCTGTAGGAAGGTGGTGGGTCCTTCATCTTCCACCACCTTCACAAAAGTGCTTCACTTTTGTGAGGCACTTATAACTAAATTGAATCTCTTTTGTTCATTAAGCCTTCCTAGCTCCAGTTTCAAGCGCAAGCCTTAGCATAACAAAGCTGTAGATCCCAGAGATTTCAGCAGGATTGCCAACTCTGACGTGAGGCCTTCTGTGATCTGTGTTCTGAGCTCTCTCTGGCAGGCGCAATCTCATAGATCTTTGATAAATGCTGTAAATTCGCTATTGAGTGGGAGAAAAGAATAGAAATGTGCCTTTCCTTTCCCATTGTGTAAGCTGAGTGCTCTGCACTGAGCAGTTTATTTTGGATGGAGAATGACAGATGAACACAATGCGACCTCCCTCTCACTGGGCTTCTCTTTAAGAGGAAATGTCAACCCTCTGGGTCAAGTTCAGAAGGAGGAAATTAATTGTGCCAGCGGGTGACTCTCAGCAGGGAGAGGCAGTCTCTTTCCTTCATTTGATTTCAAAATTCTCACCTCAGCCAGAACCCTCTGCTGACAGAAGTTGGTCCTTTGATCCAAAGTTAGTAACCCAGACAAACCTTACATTTTCGTTTTGACTTAGGTATAAATGTCCACCATTTAAAAACCCCAAATTTTTAAATGCTTCATAGAGTCTCTCTCCACCTTTAAGAGTGGACTCTTGGATTAGAAGTGGATGTCATTTTTTCTTGAAATACAAGGCCCACAAATTCTAGTTTGGGTTTCTGAAGAGTGAGGCAAGTGTGCTTCAGTCTCTGTGACAGATCCTGAGACTGCCACCTGATGTCCCATCTCTACGGTGGTCTTGCCTGCTCATACTTGGAAACAATGAGTTAGTTGTTTTAGCATCTCATGGGAGTGAATCTTTCTAAAGCATCTAGTCTAGTTTTCATAGGAAGCAATTCCTTTTCATCCCAAGTCTTATCTGTTACTTGGTACTTAACCAAATTACTTAATTAGAGTAATGAACCTGGCTGACTCTGGCTCATGCTAGCACCTAGCTGGCTGGGAACAGAAGCCTGGCTGTGGAGAAGAACTAGCTGCAGACACTTAGTGTGTCCTGGGTTTTGTAGAGGAAGTGAAGGACCTGGTAAGGGTCACCTCCCAGATGTACCACACAGGTGGATTCCTTCCTAGTGATATTACAATTTTTTAAAATTGTATTACTATTTATTGGCCCGGTGATGTGCTGCAGGCCGCAGGAATATATCATAAGAACTCAGCTGGTTATGGCAAAGTCACTACCTGGAGGTAGCAAGGATTTCCTCCAGAGGAAGCCAAATTCCAAGGAGCTTTTGGTGTTACTTGGCTTGTTATGTATCAGCTGTCTTCTGTTATGAAAATCATGTGTGCCTTCATAGTTTTCCCAATTGACTTTTCCCCAAGAAGGGCTAACTGTGTGGACTGATCACTCTCTGGACATACACATTCCAGGTATTTGGAGAACAGCCTCAGGAAAGGCTTTCTCTGGAATCAGATATTTCCCTTAGCCACTTTCAAGGACTAGCAGTAATAACAGTCCATATGCAAGTCTCCTGATGTAAGATAAATTCTACAAGGAGACACTGCCTAGGTCAGGTGGACATTAAGTAATAGCTTTACACAATTTAGCTCGGACCCTTCTTTCTTACAGCCTTACTAACTTTATAGACCTTTAACTCCTTACCTAACTACTTCTAGGAATATTTAGATAACCTTCTGTGCTGACAGCTATGCTCAACCAGAACCCCAGTTCAAGCCTCCCTGTAATTATCATCATTGGCAGCATCCGGCCAGGTCCATCCCCAGATGGAGGAAAGTACCTTATCAGAGATACCTTTACTCTCTAAGAACAGACTTAAGCATCCAGGCTACCTGTCTGAGAAGCCTGGTGGATGTGCCAATTAAGCCTTACTTCCTCTTTTCCCAAACCTTACCTCCAGTTCCAGATCTCCCTGTAACTATCACCAGAGGCATCTACCTGTACATAGGTTGCCTAGCAACTGAGCACACTTTTCCCCCACCCTGCAGAAAAACAGCAGATAGCTTGGACAGATAGGAGCCACAGGAAAAAAGAAGACAGTTTTATTTTCTCCCATTGACCTAGCAACTTATAGATTCTTAACATTTTCTACTAATCACATTTAAGAGTTTACTAGTTGAGCACATAAGATCCCTCTTCTTAGATATTACCCGAATTTAGCCTTTAGTTAATTCATTTCCCGATTGGTCACTTCCCTTTGGGGTTGCAAATAATGGAAGAACTAGACAGGTAAGAACTTGAGAGGAACAAACTGAGATGGGGAAGAACTAGGTTGAAGGGCTAGAAGAGAGTACTAGAGGAACGAGATGGAAGATGAGGAAGAGCCAGATGGGGAAGTACTAGCTGGGTAAGAACAAGCTGAAAAGGACCTAGATGAGGCAGAATTAAGACGAGAGAATTAAGATAGAACTTAGAGGGAGCAATAGATAAGTATAGAGAGAAATCAGGCAAGAAAGGAGCTAGACATGAGAACAGAACTGAAGCTGGGTATAAAGGATATTATGCCAGAGGAATTAAAGCAAGTGGACTATAGAGCTCGGTGTGCTGAGATTCTGTTTCCTGAAAATAGTCCTCGCCGTTAGTAGTTCTCTCTCCTGAGCCCCTGGGATGTATAATAGTAAGGCTGGTCCTGCTAATATTATACAAGAGTGATGGTGGCCCATGTCTTTAATACAGTACTTGGGAGGCAGAAGCAGGCAGATCTTTGTGAGTTTGAGGCCAGCCTGGTCTACAGAGAGAGTTCCAGGGCTACACACAAAAACCCTGTCTTGAAAAACCAAAAGAAAAAATATTTTATTTATTTGTGTGAGTGGGTGTGCATATGCCTTGGGTCTGTGGGGGTCAGAGGACAACTCGCAGGAGCCACTTCTCCCCCTCCATCAAGCTTGGGGTCAAGTGTCTTTCCCCACCAAGCCATCTCTCCGGCTTGATGACGATGATTTTGACTCTCCTAAGGAATACGTGCAACATGGAGAAGAGTGTCCTCTTTCTTGCTTGTGGAGTTATGTCTGGAATCGTGGGAACTGAGAATCTCAGCAGCACTATTTTCTGAGCTTGTGGATATCACTGCCTAATTTTTTTTACTGTCCAGAAGGGGATAATAATGTCTGCCCATAGGACTATTCTAAGGATTTAATGAGATAAAAACATCAGCAGAAACAAGCAACTAGGTGTTAGGTTCTCTCCCCACCCAGAGCAAAAGTTGGCTGTGGGAGAAGGCCCAGAAATTCCTCAGTAATTCACATTCACAGGGATGGTTGTCTTCTCCCTGGGTCAAGAGGACTGATGAAGCTAACCCAGAGCTGGTACCAGCTCCAGAGAAAGGTCTGGGGCTAGGCTAAGGCAAGGATGCCTGATCCTGGAAGTTTACCTGCTGACAGAAAGAGAGGATCAGGTTGTGTCAAAAGACACCAAGGTCAAAACTATAGCTATGGGTCTGCCTTGGGTCCCAGAGGAAGGCCCTGGGGGTCAGGCGTTGGCTTGGAAGAAGCCTGGGCAGCAGGCCATGGAGCAGCAAAGCTGTGCCTGTGAAAATTTACCTCTGTATCACCAACCAAAGAGCTCCTTGGAGAATGAACAGTGTCTGCAGAATCTGGAGGTGGGTGACCAGAGCATCTTCCAGTGGGTCCTACCTTACCAGCTCCATGGGATGTTTTGTGTTTCTCCATTTTTTCCTTTTGAGGCCAGTTAAAAATCCCTGGAACTCAGCATCACACTGAGTAATGGGCATGGTACTGTTCTTGAGAGGGCAGCTGAAACATCATAGGGCATCATGGGAAAACTCAAAAGCAAGGACTGAGCTGCAGATGGCTAAGCAGATAGCCCCCCAACACTTACAGAGAAAGCAGCAGGCAGCATGGCTTAGGGAAGAGAGCTGCAGGGAGAATGAATGCAAGTAGTAGTCAATGATGTTCGTTACAGTCCAGAGTGAGGGGCCAGTGCAGCAGTCAGGGCCAGGCTGGGTTGTTCTACCACGAACCAGACCATGTCTACGAGAGGCGTGGAATGGACATGCACTGGAAGCCCATGGCACCGCTTACAGAGGCACGGGAGGGAGGGAGGCGCTTTCTCCTTCACACTTGGGTACACCTTCACGTGTGAGCCACAGGTATATGGGTACTGTGAGAAAGACTAAATGGAAAAGAAAGCAAATGATGGCACGGAGCTCTTACTGGACTACAGAGAGATGGTGACTACAGCCAGGTGCCTTGTAATGAGCACAGGCTCCTGGGTGTACGTCCATGCTCACAGCCCCCACCTCCCCAGCAGTCTCTATCACATGGCCAGGTCCGTGTGCTCCGGGCACCAGCTTTACAGTGCATTTGTAATCAAGAAAGCATGTTGTGCATGGTTTCAAATGTCACCTGTGTCACCTGACCCGAGAGAAACACACTCGTTAGTCGTCACGAAACTCTTTAAGCCACAGTGAAAGTTGTTTTTCTACTCTAGAACTATCTAGAACCGCAGCTGTCAAATGCTTAGAGTATGTGTGTGTGTGTGTGTGTGTGTGTGTGTGTGTGTGTGTGTGTGTACAATGGAATGCAGGGCCTGGTGCATGCTGGGCAAGCTCTCTCCTGAGGGGCTCAAGCTGTGCTTACTGTCTCTTTAACTTAAGGCATTGACCTGGTCCCATCTTCCTTTTCCTGTCTCTTCCTCCTCTCATAACACCAACATCTTCTTTTCTAAAGAGTGTAAGTCAGCTTCTGCCCCTTCTTTCCAGGCCCAACATCCTCTCATTTGTATCTGTTTCTTCACATAAGACGCACGTGAAATGCTTTTGGCGGGGTATTACGACAGACGGTGTAATAAACACTCTCTAGTTTCTTTGAAGTGTATAAAGTTGGTAATTAAGAATTCTAATATTCCTTTTCCCTCCTTCTCTCCAGCAGGCCAACTGCTGTCAGGTGACGTCTGCCATCACGCCATGATGGAGGCCGTCAGCTATCTGTACAGGTCACTTGATTTAAGGTCCACTCACCTGGGGTCTTCCCATGCTTCCATCCAGGGAATACTGCAGTGAGTTTCTGTTGCCTGTCTCAGAAAGTAGACTTTGTGATTACCTGTGTGAACACACACAGCCACTTGACACGTTCTGGTCTTTTGCAGCCTTCTAAGGGAAATCCAGAGGTTCCGGGGCAGGAGGTTTTGGCCTCAAGGCATGAGCCAGCTGCACTCCGAAGGTTCGAAGAATGGCTTTTTATTATGGGAAAACTTGTCTAAATTAAACTTCTGCAGCGCTCAGAGTTCGGACACGGTGAACACTGCCATGTGTATGAATGTAAGTAAACTGCAGGGAGCTAAAAGCACAGAGCCGGTGCCTCCGCCGGTTTCAGATAAGCCAAAATGTTTTCCTGGCAAAGGGAGGAAGACTTTGATTCCAGTTCTGTCTGCTGGGGAAAAGACCCAAATATGGAATGGTCCAAGAAAGCAAACTCCAAGGAAAAAGAACTATCCCGTCAAGACATTGTCTGTGGGTGAAAAGAATGGCTTAGTCAAACTTTCAAAGCAAAGAGTGTTTTCTGCTAAATGTGAGAGTGGAGACGGACTAATCACCGCGATTTACCGTCGGCCCCCGAGAGCACCTCTGAGTGCAAACAATCCCTGGCAATCCATATCTGAGCTTGTATCAGAAAAATGGCTTTTTCACACCCCACAGTACAGCTTCACTCCCCAGAAATTTGTTTTCCCAAGAAGATCTCAAGTAGAAACAAAATGGTTGAGGATCTCAAATGAAACCGATAATGAATAAAAACCACTTTGGGCTCTTTTGTATTTAAGTTTTTCTCAGTCTTTTTGAAGTTTTATGTGTGTGTTTGTGGGACATGTGTGTCCATGTTTGTATGTAGGCCAGAGGTCAATGTTGATGTTTTCCTCAATCGCTTTCCCCCTTATTTTTTATTTTTTTCTCTATGTAACAGCCCTGGCTGTCTTGGAAATCACTCTGTAGACCAGGCTGGCCTTGAACTCAGAGATTCTCCTGCCTCTGCCTCCCAAGTGCTGGGATTAAAGGCATGCACCACCACCTCCCAGCCCCCTTTGTTTTTTGAGACAAGGTCTCACTGAACCTAGAGCTCACTGGTTCTACTAGACTGGCTAGTCAGTGAGCGCCAGGGATGATGAGGTCACAGAGACAGGCTGTCACGCCTGTCTTTTTATGGCGGTCCTTGTGTGTGACAGGAAGCTCTTTACAGACTAAGCTATTCCCCTAGCATCTGTTTTGGATTCTTTCATTGGATATTTTCTTTTAAACACTTAGGAGTGGTCATTATCCAGGTCTGGGGATTCTTAGTCCCTTATAATGTTATGTCTGATTTTAGTTAAAAAGAGCAGGTTTTTAAGTGATCCATATTTCTATGGGAAGCAGAACAATCTTGATCCCATAGTCCTATATTCTTTTTTTTTTTTTTTTTTTTTTTTTTTTTTGAGACAAGGTTTCTCTGGGTAGCTTTGAACCTTTTCTGGGTCTCTCTCTGTAGACCAGGCTGGCCTCGAACTCACAAAGATCCGCCTGGCTCAATATATATATATATATATATGGAATCTTATCAATTTTAACTTATTTTTACATTGCTAGAGTTTATCTATTTTGAGTTTAAAAAATTTTCATCTAAGCAAATTGATGATTGTTATTACCAAAACTTTTTATTAATACATTTAGAAAAAATAGGAATTGAAATGTTCTCAAGTCATAAAGTAAGCTTATGTATCAGAGCCCATGATTTTGATACTATATCTATTTGAACATTTTATTATCCTCCGTTTTATCAGTGATTGGTAAAACATTAACCTGTAATAGTTAAGGATTACTTTCCTGCTACCCTTATCCCTACCACTCAACAAAATTATTCCTAGGAAACTCACAGAAGAGGGGACTCAGCTGTGTGACTTTACCTCTGTTGTGCCCCAGTTTCGTTAGGTATAAAATTAGAGACACGGTGCTTACCTTTCAAGATAGTTGAGAAAAATTGTATGTGATAAAATACACTGGACATCTTCCACTGATGGTTTTTATTATCAGTCAGGAACTAGCTTAGGCGTCATCTTCTTCCACGAAACAGTTGACTCTTCCAGCCCACAATTTAAGAATCACGACTGTGCCCGACCTATTTCACATGCGCCAGCTATTCCCCCTAATTTACCTCCCACTCAGCGGTCACCATGGGGTAGTTTGGGAATTCCTTGGGGCCCAGTGCTTCTCGGGCAGGTCATGGGTGGATGATAGTTAGTCCTGCAGGAGTCCTGTCTGACTCAGTGCACACAGAAATGGCGCCCGGTGGGGCGGCTGCTGTTTATTGACTTTTAGTGGAGCTACAAGGCATGGAACAAGTGCAGTTAGCAGGTGAGCTGAGCAGGCACCCAGCGTGCTGTGAGCGTGGGCGGGAGCCTGATAATCATGTCCAGAGGCCCTCTCTGGAGGTGGGAATCCGGCTTTCCAGAGGCCGTGCAGCGAAAGGGAAATTTGAGTGTGCTTTATACCTATTAGAATCTTCAGGGGGTGGGATCTTGCAGGCGATTTTAGACCTTGTGTGGGACCTCGGCCCAGCTACCCTTTAAAGGGCAGGTTTGGATGGGCTTCAGGACCGTCTCAGACGGGCACCTGAGATCCAGGAGATACCTGCAGAAGCCATTGACACGGAGTGAGGTCACCTTCCAGAGGCTGGGACCAGGGCAGGGGTGTGTAGGGAGTACACTGTCAGAGCCACCACAATCGGGGGCCGCCACGGAGGGCCAGTGGAAGGTAGCGCGGAGTCCTGCGGGCGGCGACAGGGTCGGAGACGAATCATCCTAGTCCATGTGGCCTCAAGCACCACTCCCCCGCCACCCCCACGCCTCGCGGGGTCAGGAAGTGACCGCAGCAGACCGGGCACCTAAGGCCCCGCCCCACCTCGTTTCTCCAAGGCTTCTCCGCCTCGGACTTAACCCAGCCCCGGTCCCACCCCATTTCCCCAGGTCCGCCCCTGACCCGGCCCCTGATTAGCCCGCCCCCCATCCCCGTTTCCCTGCCCCTCCTCCCGCCATGTCTCCCCCCAGGCCACGCCCCTGACTCCGCCCCTGACTCGATCAAGGACGGTCCCACTCAGTCTCTATAGGCCGCATTCCTTACTCAGTCCAGTCAGGCCCAGGCCCCACCCACCCCGCTGCCCCAAGCCCCGCCTCTGACCCCGCCTCCCGCTCCCGTCTAGACCCCGCCCCCACATTCCCAGGCCTCGCCTCCGACTCCGCCCAGGCCCCGCCCCTCGGAGGCTGGCGCTCGGGTCGCGAGGCCGCTGGCTCAGACACAGGGATCGCCGGCTCGCGTCCCGGAGCCTCCCGGCGCTGGCTGTCCGCGCCTCCGGCTGCTTGGAGGCGGCATGGCCACAGTGGCCGCGGTGGCCCGCGGGGCCGGGGCGAGGGCGGCGGCGGGGCTGCGGGGCGGCAGCGGGGCTGCGGCTCGGGGACGGCCGCGTGCGAGCTGCGCTCGGCGCCTGTGCACCGCCCCGGCCGCCGTGGACATGAAGCGCTACCTGTGGGAGCGCTACCACGAGGCGAAGAGGAGCACGGACGGTGAGTGCGCGCCCCAGCCGGCGCCGCCGCTCGGGGACGCTCGGTCCCCGCACCCTACCTCTGCCGCGCGGCTCCCGCGGAGAAGGCGAGTCCCAAACTTCCCAACTCTCGCTTCCCTTGCCCCTGCCGGGAAAGCTGTTTTCATACCCGGGGGATGGTTGAGCCGGGAGTGTGCATCGGAAGTGCCCTGGGTCGCCGCGAGGGTTCCAAGGGCGTCAGTCGGAAGACGTAACCCCAAACACCGTGAGGTGTTGGCATTCACCCTAGGAAGGATAGTGGCAGCCCAGCCAGCTGCCGCGCTGTCCTAGACGAGCTCCGGCGCGGGCGGCTGGGTCAGGAGGCTGAGCCGGTTTCCTTTGTGCAGGATGGAGTAGGGTGAAATGCTCTGTTTGAAGTGGGGGTGGGCGTCTGGTTATCCACGGCCCTCTGCGAGGAGGAGAGGAGTACCTGTGGCCAGGTGAACAGAGAATGAGCTTGGCTCCGCTAGGAAGCGGGGAGGAACGGAGAGAGGAGCCAGGTTGTACCAGTGTCAGGTATTGATAACTGTCCCTGAATCTCCCATCGCCTCCGGAGGAGGGGGTCGCGTCCAATCTGTTGTGGATTGCAAAGGCGAGACTCGGGTGCACGGAAGTCGCCTGACCAAAGACTGGTTTTGACCCAGGGTCGGGAATCCATTGTCCAGTCTGTCGCTTTCTGCTGCTTCTCTGCTGTCGACTGTTTGGAACCTGGAGTCAAGGGGCAGTGAGCCGTACGCACCTGAAGCTATCAGAGGAGACTCGGGATTTAATATCGATTCTTTGGGGGGTGGGGAGGCGGTTGGGGAGAATGGCACGGCGGGATGGGGGTGGGGATTTGGTGAGGGCACCTTTTGTGGGATTTTAAAGATCCGTTTGCATCTTTTGGCCAGAGGTCAGTTCAAGTGAAACAAACCCACTTGGAATAATTTTCACAGCACGTTCCGAGGTGTCAGCAATGTAGACGTCTATGGAAGGGTGGCCTATTGTTTTTGGCTTTCTTTTGCCAAGAGTTGGATTTCGAAGCTGTTTTGTGGTGTGGTAGAAAGACGATTTGCTTTGGAGAGGTTAGGAATTACAGACCTTAGAGATAGAAGAAATAGAGAAGATTATCTAGGCGGACATTTTTGGCCAGGCAAGTTCTTTGAGATGGGCCGTGTAGCCCAGGCTGGCCTTAAAGTCACCAGTCTCCTGCATTATCCTCCCAGGTGGGAGCTGCCATTCCTGACAAGTTTGTCGTGTCGTGTGTCGTCCCCCCCCCCTTCTCCTCCTTTGGGATGCTCAGCAGATCACAGCCACTGTAGGGGGTGGAGGAAGTGACTTAGCACCCCTCACCCGCCATCCCTCACCTAGTCTCCTGCTTAGGGCAGTCCTATGCCTGGCCTTGAACGAGTTACCTAATCTCTCAGCTTCAGTTTCTCTTCGTAAAATGAAGCCACAAGCTAAATAATGTCTCCAGTGTTATAGGTGTGCAGGGACTTCAGGTACACAGTGTGCAGGTCCTCTCACTATGGGTACATGGTATGCTGGTCCCCTCACTATGGGTACACGGTGTGCAGGTCCCCTCACTATGGGTACATGGCATGCAGGTCTCCTCACTATGGATACAGGGTGTGCTGGTCCCCTCACTCTGGATACATGGTGTGCAGGTCCCCTCACTATGGGTACATGGTGTGCTGGTCCCCTCACTATGGATACAGGGTGTGCTGGTCCCCTCACTATGGATACATGGTGTGCAAGTCCCCTCACTATGGGTACATGGTATGCAGGTCCCCTCACTATGGATACAGGGTGTGCTGGTCCCCTCACTATGGGTACATGGTGTGCTGGTCCCCTCACTATGGATACAGGGTGTGCTGGTCCCCTCACTCTGGATACAGGGTGTGCTGGTCCCCTCACTATGGGTACATGGTATGCAGGTCCCCTCTCTGTGCCACAACACATTCACAAATAGTTCCTATGTTGCCCCTGAAAACACAGGGACTTTTAAGTTTGACTCTGACTTCTTAGTCTCTTTTGGGTGCTCACCTTCCCTACCCTCCTACAGCCGATGTCTGTGACCTTTCAGTGAGCATGTGTTAAGTACCCAGCAGCGGGTTTTAAGGTTGCTGATTCTCAGGTTCGTGAGTCTGGGCTGTGGGGTTCCGGATCTGTTCACCTGCCTGCCTGTGCCCAGCTGTGGACCAGCCTGACATGGATGTGGAGTCCGGGAGGGAGAAGTGACAGCCACAGACAGCAGAGCAGATGAGGACTGACTGGGGATACAGGAGTCCCTCCCTCTCCTCAATTATCCTCTCGGGATAAAGTGGTTTTACTTTCCCACTTCCTGATTCTGACAAAAGAATTTTATTTTCTGGTCACTTGATCCCTTTCATTAATTCAAACAGTTCCTTTCAGGTACAATCACTTCTAATGCCTGCCAGGCGAGGAAGGGCTGTAACTTTAGGCTTTGTTTTAATATATTCTTTCCCAGTCTTTTCTTTGCATTTTAACTGAAATTTGTTAAATGTTTTTTTTCCCCCCCGGGTCAGTTTTGGATATACAGAGAAACCTGTAGTTTCTATAAAGCCTACAGCTATTTTCCATTCCTAGCCTTTCTTCTCTTCCCTTCCCTTCTCCTCCCTTCCTTTCTTTTTCTATACCTAACAACCGTTTTCTGTGCCGGGATCCCATCCAGGATTGCACACTACATTTAGTTGTCTCTTTAGACTCTGTTGAATCGCACAGTTTACCAGACTTGCTTGTTTTTCTGTGACAGCGACAGTTTTCAGGGACTGGTCACATTTTAAAGCATCCCGATGGGAATTTATTCCTGTTTTTGTTTTAACCGGAGTCTTGGAATCTGGTACTGCTTCCTTTGTCCATCTGGTACTCACCGTCCCCACCTCTGTACTGTTTTAGCATCCCATCTGGAAGTCAGCTCAAAAAGTTCTTTGTATCTTTAGGACATGAAATGTCACACCATAAACCCTGGCAAGAATCTAGATGCTGGAGGGGAAATGGTCCTTCAGCAGGGTGCAGAGGGGGCAGCTTTGCCCCCTGGGGACACTTGGTTAAGTCTAGAGACCATTTTATTTCTCTCACTGTGGGGTAGGGGCAGTGCTGCTGGCCTGTGGTGGGTAGAGACCAGTACAATATTTTCATAATAAAGAGCTATGTGGCTTCGAGTATCAGTAGTGCTGGGCTCAAGATCCCTGTACTAGAGTTCTGAGAAACCACTGGTGTGCCAAGGGCTGGATGTATTTGTGTGAGGTTTGTTCCTGTTTTCTGTGTATTGTATTTCGGCTTCTCTGTGTGTGCATCAGGTGATTGGTCTGTTTTCTTGTCTCCAGAACAGAGGCAGTCTTCCCCAGAGGGGTAACTCCAGCTTTGGATTTGGATAACTTGTGGATTTGTTGTTATTTTCCTTCTTTCCTTCCTTCCTTCCTCCCTTCCTTCCTTCCTTCCCTCCCTCCCTCCCTCCCTCCCTCCTTCCTTCCCTCCCTCCCTCCCTTCCTTCCTAACGAGTTAATCAGAGAGCTAGGCTGATTAGAATAAGTGCCCACCCAACCACCCTCCCTCCCTTCCTCCCTCCCTCCCTCCCTCTTTCCTTTCCTTCTTTCCTTCCTTCCTTCCTCCCTCTCCCTCCCTCCCTCCCTCTCTCCCTTCCTAAGGAGTTAATGGGAGAGCTGACTTGATTAGAATACATACCCTCCACGCCTCCCTCCCTCCCTTCAAATCCATAGTGGAAGAAGATAAACCGTGGAAGCGAAGCTGGGGATTACCGTGAAGTTTTAGGAGCTTTATTCAGAGACATGGAAAGGTTTATTCCAAGTTCTGGGTTGAAAGAATCGGATAATCCATCAGAAATTAGGTATTTGTGAGGATGGGAGCCAGTTTAGTTGAGAGCTTCTATGCAAGCATGGGGGGCCTGAGCTCTGACCCGCAGAAACCCACATAAAAGCCGGGCATGGTAGCATACCACCCAGCTAGCAGGGGGAGGCAGACAGGAGGGTTCCTGGGGCTTGCTGGCCAGACAGGTTTGCTAAAAAACAAAACAAAACAAAACAACCCCAGGGAGCTCCAGGTTTAGTGAGAGAAGCCTTCTGAAGGCAGCCAGGCAGAGTGGTAGAGCAGGGCACCTGGAGTCCTCCTCTGGCCTCTGCGCCAGTGAACATGGAGCATGCATCCACCGGCACGTGCACACACACAGACATACACCATACACACACGTGCATGTGCACACAGACATACACCACATACACACACACACACGTGCACATGCACATGTGCACATGCACACAGACATACACCACACACACGTGCATGTGCACACAGACATACACCACACACACACACACAGTGCACATGCACACAGACATACACCACACACACACACACACACATGCATGTGCACACAGACATATACCACATACACACACATGTGCACATACACACGTGCACATGCACACAGACATACACCACACACACACACGTGCATGTGCACACAGACATACACCACACACACACACACACCACACACACACGTGCACATTGCACACGTGGCACATGCACACAGACATAAACCACACACACACATGCACGTGCACACACACAATTAGATGTTTAGAAGGGACTATTTATTGATGCATAGCAGAACAGGTTCGAAATAAACATGAGACACAAAGATAATTCTCACCGTATATAAGGTGCCTACACAATAAGTACCGACACACGTACATTCCTCAAGGAGCTGCTGCGGGGTAAAGAGATACTCTTGGATAATTGACAAGACGTACATCTTGTTAGTTTAGACTCCCCATCTCTGGGACTGTGCTTCACAATCTTTTGAGAGATACAGCTGTTGAAATGGAGAGAAAAATATCCACACACAAAGTTTTTTTTTTTTTTTCTTTTTTACAGCTGAGCTTTTCAGTACTAGCTTTAGAAGCACACCAGAGCCTTTAAAAGGCATAAGATTCCAGGAAAAAAGATGTTGATATTTTG